ATAAGAAAATGCCATAATGAAACCAGTTTCTTCATATGCTATCCCAAAAAGTGATTAAATATTGGGCCAGTGAGATAGCTCAGTGGGCAAAAACATGTGCTACCAAGCCTGAGGACCCGAGTTCAATCCCTGGAACTCCTGTAAATTGTCCTCTACACTCACACATGAGCAGTGGCACATATGTGCACGCAAAATAGAAGTTTAAAAAACTATGAAGTAAAGATAAATTTTGTTTTGTTCTAGTGCATTCAATCCTTGGAAAAGTAGCAGTTTTCTGTAGCCCTTGGAGACAGAACCCACTGCACAGTGTGTGGCATGCTGTTTCCATGCACAGGGTTTGCACACCTCCAGATGCATCTCACAGATGGGAAAACTGAGACTTGGAGAGATCAAGAGACTTGCCAAAGTCACACAGCCAGGAGGCAAGCTTAGGTGATCCCAGCTATGCTACTCATCACCCCTTATTAGCCACCTTGACTGCCACCTGCAGACTGGCCTCTGGCTGCAGGTGTGAGACAAGCTGATAGGAACAAGGAGCTTATTCCAGGCTGTGGGCAGAGCAGCTGTTCTGAAGTCACAGAGCCTGGGGCCATGCTGCTCTACTGTTCTTGTAGATAAAGTGCCCCACTTAGGAGAAGCGATCACCCGCTCTCCTGCTGCAGTCATTAGCTCACTGACTCCTGGAAAAACCATTTGGCCATTGCTGACAGATGCGGCCATTACAGAATCACTTAGCCCCTCTCCCTGCCCCTCCCGACCTTGGGGGAGGGGGGGAGCTCAAGGCAGGCAAAGCCCAGGGGACAGTCCGGGCCATTCACTTCCTGGCTCTGCCTCCTTTCCAATCCTGGGCTGGCTGCATTTCACCAGGCCACACTAAAGCAGCAGGAGGCAGCTTCAGACAGTGTAGTAAGCTGCCAATGACCTTGTCCTCCTGAGACCCATTCGGAGGCTGCGTGTACCTTCATCATCTCCTTGGCTCCACACAACAGTGTATGCTGGGAATGAGAGTTATAATAGTCACTCCACCGGTATAGGACAGGAACGGAGAATTGAGTTGCCCAAGGTCACACAGGTAGTACACATTCTCAGACCTGACCTACTTCCCCAGGCCTGCGCTGCCACCGTCCTGTGGGAATGCTAATGTCTATGGGAACTCCAATGTGGGAGTCCTGGGGTAGGGCTGGGACAAGGGCCATTTCTCTGAATCAAGAAGATGGAATGGCCTGATTCTGTAGGGAGAACAGCTTATACTGAGGGGACGATGGGGCCACTGTTCAGAATAGAGTAGATGCCGGCCCAGTATGTCACACGTGATTTCTATTGAACAGCTGTTGGTGGCGCTGTGGCTCCATAGGTCCACCCTCCCATGCAAGAGCTTTGTTGTCATTGGAAGGGCCATCTGGACTGAGAACAGATGAGAACAGCTCAAGGGAGCAGCTGGGTGTTGTGTGGCCACAGAGTCCATGAGCCTTGTATGGATTTGTATCAGTGGCCAAGTCCTGTTATGAAAAATACCAAGCGGAAGTAGATTTCCTGTGTTGTGGAATGGAGCCTGGGTTGGAGTTGTGCTGTCTTTCTTTTTTAAGTGGATCAAATAGCCCAGGCTGGCTTTGAACTTGCTGCGTAGTAGAGGACAACCCTGAAGCCCTGATCCTTTACTGGCACTTCTTGAGAGCTGGACAGAAATGCACTATCACACCTACTCCTGTGCAGTACTGGGAACCGCACCCAGGGCTTCGTGCATTTGAGGCAAGCACTCTGAGCTTCATCTGGAGCCCTCAACTTCCATTTTGTAAATAAATAAATAAACTTCCATTTTATAAATAAATCTCTCTATAAAGAATGTATCCTTATGGTGGTTTGTTCCACCACAACTCTACCTTCCCCTGCCTCTAACACAGCCTGCCCAGAGATGCACACTCCCTGTCCGCATCTAGATCCCTAGGAACTGTTTGCCCTCAGGTAGGGTGGAAGGAACCTGGGAAGTCCTGATTGGCCACATTCCACTAACTACCAGTTCCACTAACTACCCAGGTGGTCTGGGTGAAGCTCCAAAATGACCACGGACCAGTCAATGTCCAGATGAATGAGACAGATGAGAGGTGAAACAGATGGGCTGTGTGGCCCTGGGTGGATATCAGAGACAAAAAGGAGTGGGACGCCTGCTTGGTTCTTGATAACCTGACCCCCTGAAATCCAGGATGAGTCTGAGCCATGTAAAATCACTTGTTATCCTTTTGACTTGATGGTCAACTCACTCAACTTAACACCATGGACTCGAGGATCCTCATTTATCCCAGAACCCTGCTCCCACCCCTCAGTGCTGAGGGTCAGGTACAAGTCTGAGCATGAGCCTCCTTCTGGAAGTCCTGCTCTTCCATGAATTCCACTAGAAAAGCAGTCTGGTGAGCTCCTTCCTCTCCTGTTCCTCCTTTTCTTCCTGGCATGAGGTTTCCAACTAAGAAACGTCTTGCTAGGCCCTGATACCTCCAAGGCATGGTAGGAAGAAAACCAGTCTTCACACTGTGCTTTCTCCATACCAGGCTTCACTCGGAAATGTATCCAATCATCACCTTCAAAATACCCCAAAAGCACTTTGCTATGGTTACATAAGAGCTAAAGTACAGAGAGGTTAGATGACTTGTCAGGGCCACACAGTCAAAAGAGCTGGGATTTCAAACAGGTAAAATGTGTATGTACCTTGGCAAGACTCTGAACTGGCAAGAGTTTTTTACTTTTTCTAGTGAAGCCAGAAAGTTTCATCTCATATATTGGTTGAATCCAGCCTAATTTGTGATAAACACCCTAAAAAGCCATCTGAGGAGCCCAGGAACTCTCACTATATCAGGGCTGGGGATCCCTGCTGGGTCTGTCCACAGACAGACTTGCACACAACAGGAAGCCAGTGCACTGGCCCAGAGGCAAACCAAGAGGGAAGGCACTGGCCTCTGCTCTGGGAGGCAGAACCCAGGGAGGCCTCCTCCCTTCCCACAAGCCTTCCAGCCAGACTCCATAAACAGCAAGAAAAGCAACAAAGCTGCCCTACTTGCCATCTGCCCGGCTTCTGCCACTCACCTCTCACAGACCACCTGTGCCCTAGTGACAGGATCAGGGCCATTAAGCCCAGCTGTGTGCTCCATAATGAGCCCCTGTTCCTGCCACTGAACCTCACCAGGAAATGTCACTTTAGAGAAGCTGTCCAACCTTCCTGCCCTCAGTCTTCATATCCATTAAATGGGAAAGGGGATTAGACTCTCAGATGCTTGTGGCCAGAAGCGTTTGAGATTCGAGGTGTTTTCAGATACTGGAATTTATTTTTCATAAATATAGCAGAGATGCTTTGGGGAAAGGAGCCAAACAAAGTCACAGGGTGGTGTTTCGTAAACACTTTGCATAGCCTATACATGGTTGTTTCAGTCATCTTGTGTGTGAAGTATGGAATGGAATTTTCCACTTCTGTAATGTCAGTGCTCAAGAGCATTGGGGTTTTGGAACATCTAGGAATTTGGATTTTCAGCTAGGGCTATACTCAAGCAGTACTTCCCTTATGGGTGGATTGTGATGGTGTGATGGTGGGATGCATTAGCCCCTGTCAAGTTCCCAGTCGATGAGACAGTGGTATCTAATAAAGCTCTTGCTACCCAGTTGAGAGACCCCTGCACTGGATATTCCTAAATAAAATGCAAACTGGAGGAGGGAGGAAGCCTTCTGAGAATGGCCCAGTGTCTTGTACCCAGGTCACCCACCATGACTCCCTGTGGCCCAGCTAGTGCTCCACTTCCTAGGACCGTCATGCTGACCAAGGCTGACCACTCACTGCCCCTGTCATGGCTGCAATGGCTTCTAAGCTCTCTTACCATAACCTGCAGTGCGTTATGTTATGCTCTTGGAATGTTTCAACTAATAAATTAATAATAGTTATTAATCAATCATCAATCAATCCCTGGGGCCTGAACCTCCTTTCCAGACCAAAGCTGGATGTCTTTTATAGTCACATTAGGAACTTCTGCAGACAGGGCAGCCCACAGGGGCTCCAGCTATAACTGCCCCAAAGAGCACTTCACCAATGATGGCCCTGATGAGGACAAGCTGGGGCAGGTGGCCAGAGTCCTTAAGACCTGAGGGAGAGCTCTAGATGGCACAGGGGCCTCCAACCTGCCCCAGCATCTGCTAAAAGGTTCTTGTGCCTGAGGCTTCCAAGTCCTCCTCCTGCAAGCGTTAAGAACATTTCCATTTGCACGCTGACCAAAATGGAGTATTTGGGAGCACAGACTCCACCCAGCCCGGAAGCGTAGGGACCAGGAAGGAGAAAGAGAATTCAGCCTTTAAAGTCTAAATTTATTCAGGTGTTTAAACGAACAGAAACAATATCATGCATCGGTTACTTTTTTCCCTTTGTACAACAAAACTAAGTGCTCAGATATCTCTGCAGAGGTTTGGCGCTCACTTTTTTTCCTTTCTTTCCAGAACGTCAGGCAGACTTTTCAATGTTATCCAGTTTTGCACAGTCACTGGAGTGTCGCGTCATGAATTATTAAATCAGTGCTTCGTGGTAATACATAATTTCTTATCAATTATTCATGCTAATGTGTGTGTAGTTTACTTAATTGTGTTATTGACGATCAAAAGTAATTTCCTGAAAGTCCTCAAGGACACAAAATTTAATCAGCATAACTACTTTTCGGATGCAATGCTGTTAAGTATTTCTAATTTGCCCAACAGTTCACTTATTTATGCACCTTTCTGGAGGAAATACGAGTTTAATCAAACAATTAGATTGAAGAGTTAGTGCGCATAAGGGCTGGAGCATACATTGCTCAACCAAACCTTCGTAATTACAGGGAAATGGAAGCGACTTGGCCGCTTTTTGGCAAATCACTTCATCTTTGTACTCAACAAGCAAAATACAGCAGGAACAAGGATCTGCTTTTTTTTTCTTTTTCTTTTCTTTTTTTTTTTTTTAAGGAGACAGTGTGTTCTATCAACTGTGTTGCAGTAATGGTAAGTGAGGCACGATACACTTAGGAGTATTACAGGGGTAGGGGCTTCTGAAGAGTTGAGGGAGAGGCAGAGGGCCTGAAAGCAAAGCCTTTCAACTATCACAACTGAAATGAAAACAGCCTTCATGAAAGCAGTAACAGTTTGCATGGAAACATCAGTAGCAAAAGCCACCAAAGACCACCACCCTTCAGCACCGAGAGGCAGGCGGGACTCATGCTATTGCACTCTCCCCTTTGATCTCTTCGAGGTCACCATCCACGTGAAAGAACACAGCCACACTAGACTGAGGCAGAAATCTCTATGAAATTTGGACCTTTGGAATCCATTCTATTTCACCACAAGGAGTCATCTTCCTGGGTTTCCTGTCTGCGCATTCACACATCGGCCAGTCCTGTCTCCTTGCCCTGCAGATTCCCCTCCGCATGATGGGGACATAAAAAAGGGCAGTTCACTTGTGCATAAGTTATTCCAGGGGCCTTCCTGGGGATCTCCTCCCTCTTCAGGGGCTCTTGTCCTTTTGTAGGCCACAAAGCTACTTTCTGACTGGTGACCTTCCCACCATTCTTTACCATTCTTCTGTAGAGATGCAGGGCCTGCAAGTGGACACTCGAGTTGCAGGGGACCCACATTTGCTCCACACCACGGTATCAAGATAGCAGCCCCCGGGGCCACAGCACTAACGTGCTGTCTGACTGGGACCTGCCAGATGTGCCCAGGGAAATCCACCAGCATCAGGACCACTGTGTACTCACCCATGTTTTGTCACTTCCTAACCAAAACCTCAGCTAATACCTTTAGACAAGAGAAAGGGGGTTGTTGCTGGCTGAGGGGAGCGAGAACGGATACATATTCTACCAGTTCTGTGGTTCTTACACAATATGAGAATGACTGTCTCGTTTCTTGTCATGAGATGTCACTCCTTGGTATCTTTCAGAGGTGATCCATGCCACAGTCCTTGGAGTGACAAGACCTCCCCAGATAGCTCAAGAAGGGTGATGGGGTGAACAAACATGGTTTGCCCCAATGCTTCTTGGCCTGGAAAACAAAACAAAACCAAACAAGAAACCCAAGGGCCTCACCACAGAGCAGTTTCCAGAGCCACTAAGTGCCATTGGGAACTGTCACCAAGAAAAGCCAGAACAACCACAGCCCTCCAGCAGAATTCTAGAGTGACTCTCCAGGTGTCAAATGGCTGAAGGTCTCACTTTCCCTGCCAGATCCATGAGGAGGTGGCCACTTCTTGTGGTTCACAGAGTTACAGGGCTGAGGCTGAGAGAAGCAGGGATGGGGAGGGCTCCAGGCTTGGTTACTCTGGACTCTCATACACTCTTCTCTCCCTCACTCTGTTCCTTGGTTGGGGAGGTCTTGTCCTGGCTGCCTTCCGGAGGTGCCTGCTTGGAGGCAGGGCTGGGGCTGCTGCTGGTGGAGGGCAGGAGGTTGGCTGACTGCAGGACAGCTTCTGAATGCTCTCGGGCCTTCATGCGCAGAGCAGCCACGCTGGCAGTGCGGTTACTCTGGCAGCCATAAGTGGGGAGGAAAGAGAGCCCCATGGGGTCTGGGACACAGCAAGAGCACAGTGGGCCTCCTAGAGGAAGAAAAACAGAGGCTCTGTCATTGTCCATATCCTGTTTCTCAGGCCTGGGGAGGGCTGTGCCCCAAAAGAGGGACAATGATTCCCTTTGGATCCAGATACTAGACTGAGAACAAAACCCAGGTCCCCAAAGATGCACGGCTCTAGGCATCCAGTGGTCGTCCAAAGAGCTATCAGCATCAGGAGACCTGGTCAGTCTTGGCCCTATCTCTCACCAGCCATGTGTTGTCTCAGTCCAAAATTGGTTTCCGTGAACCTTGACTTCTACTTGGGTGAAATGGAACAATACATACACATCACAGAGTTGTAATGAAGGTCTGATGAAGTCATCCCACACTCCAAAACAGTGTGCCAAGCCACCCTTAACAACTCACTGTGAGGCTTTGCTGGGTGCCCAGCCACTCTGCCAGCTGCCAACTGGAAACCACTTACAGCTTCCATGTCAAACCAGAACACATCCCATTCAAGAAGGTCAAATCTTTGTGAAGGGGACCCCCCCCTTAGCAGGGACCCCCCGGGGGTGGGGGGAAGACCCACATAGGGTATAAAATGAAAGCAGTGGTGTGTTCTCCCTGCAATGTTGGAGAAGCTGAGCAAGGTTCACCTTGTGCACCAGCTCATGACAGGTGTTAGCTACTTAAACTGATAATCTTCCAGTTATAAGAATTCTTTTCCAATGCCTGCAAAGCCGCCAAGAAGACATAATGCTTACTAAGTCATTTTGGATCTGGCCATTTAATGAAAAGAACTGTTGGCCACTGCTTATGGCCCCAGGGCTGAAAGGACCTAGGTTTGGGGCTCTGAAGTAGTTGTTGGAAACACATTTAGCACAGACTCATGCCATGGATTATTATTCTTACTTACTTGTGGCCTCTTGGCTGGCAAAGATGAGACATACTGCCCTGCAATTCCTGAAGGGGCCCAAGCCAGAGCTAAGAACCATGCAAAGAACAGAGTCCCCTGTGTCTCTGATTCCCCTGTCATCTTGGACATGCCCATCAGCTCATGAGCTGATTTTTTACTGTCTGGCATGGCTTGAAGTCCCCCTCTTCAGGCCACCACAAAGCAATAGTCCAGATATAATGCCACTTTGTTTTCAAAGTCATGAGGGCCAGTGTCTCACAGAGACTAGCCTCTGGGGGTAACCTCAGCAATGTCAGCTATGGAGGCAGCTAGAAGGCCTACATAGTTTTGTCTCTCAGTGCCAGGTCCGGGCAACCCTCCTTCTCTTCAGCATATTCAAGGATGCTGCCTTTCTTTGCCCATCCTATTCAAAAGCAACAAGAAGATCCCCTTGGTCCCATTCACCACTACCTCTCCTCACCAGTATGGCCATGAGGGTGTAAATATCCCTCCTTGCCCTCTCCTAATAAGGGGTCAGAGGTTCTATGCCTTACAGAGGTGGGAGCAGCCGCTTCTGGCGTCTTAACATAATGGCTGAAATGCAGCAGCGGCTTCCTGCCTTGGTTTTTAAATGAGGACCTGCTATATACAGGTAGGAACTACCAAGATGATGGGGGAGACATGTCACCAAGGCCAAGTGCACAAGGGAATTCTGAGAACCGTTTTCCCAACCCTGACTGCCTAGTTGGTCTTTAACCTGAGGTGCATTTGATCAGGCTCTGAGTCCTGTGTGCTCCCTGTTCCCAGTGGCATCACACAGACAAGGTGGTATGTGGACACACATTACAGTGAGATGTCTCTGCAGAGACTCAGCTTTTGCTGGGAAGGATGTCTGTGCTGGCACCATGATTTGGGGACCTCAACTAGGAGGTCTTCTTCCATCCAAGTCCCCTTCCAAACAAGGAACTTGTTGTCTACGAAAACCAAAGGTGTGAAGAAACCAAAATACTAAGGATTAAGGTCCATTTGGGAAGAAGGATAGCAAAGAATTTGTGGTTTTCTCAGCTTGGATTGTTTACACTTTTCTATAATGATCATAAACTTCATTTAAATTGTTATTGAATGGTAAAAAGAGAGAAGACTGGAATGACCCAACACAACTGAGAGGAGGCCGGGAGGCTGAGAGGGTGGCAGGGAGCCCAGGGCCACACACTAGCTGAAAGCCCCATAGAGTGGGCTGGGGACCTGGAAGGAGCCTCAGGCTCCACAGGCTCAGCCCTAGCAGTCACTGTGTTGAACTACCTAAGGAAGGCTAGTTTTGCCACAGAATAGGACTTGTTCCAGTGTGTCCTGTGAGTTAGATCCTCTGTTACTCAGGTGACAGTTTACCTTCAATAGAATATAGAAGTGACAAAGCTTCTCCTGAGGCCACAGTCTATACATCCTGGTGACACCAACAATGGCCCCAACAAAGTCTCCAATAACTTCAGTCCTGGCCCTCAAACACCAGATTTAGAGGTGAAGAAAACTAATCTAGAACCCAGTTTGTGGCCTAGTTCTCACTCACCCCACCCCAGACAGATGGGGAAACTGAGGACCAAATGAAGTCAAAGATTCTAGAGGACACTATGATTAAAACTGTGCTACACGCCATAGAGTGACATTCCTCTTTGGAAGGAGACACTGACCCATTTTACAAGAAGGGACCCCAAGGACTTGATAAGTGAAATTAGCCATTAGGAAGACAGTAATATAGGATTCCAGTCAAGATAATAGACAAAATCTATAGGGACAGAAAGTAGAATGTCAGCTCTAGGGGCCTGGGGAAAGCAGGAACAAAGAGCTGCTGTTTAATTGTACAGCTTCAGACTTCTGAGAGGAAGAGCATTCAAATATGAACCATCATCCATCAGTATTCGTGTAGGACTACCTACAACACCAAAACCCAAGGATGCCTTAGTCCCTTATAAGAGAATGGCACAGAAGCCATGAGCATCCTCTTACATTCTTTCATCTCTGGGTTATTGTAGCGTTGGGCTGGTAGCTGTCCTACTGCATTGTTTAGGCGATAATCACAAGAAAAATTCATGTGCCTGGGTCCACACAATCCAAGTTGCTACCTGTAGGTTGTTCAATTGAGGAGTGCGGAACTCTGCACATCCAGGGATGGTTGTATATTTAACCACATTGAAATGCAGTTAAGGGCTTGGAGAGCTGGCTCTGCAGTTAAAAGCACAAAATGCTCTTGCAGAGGACCCAGTTCAGTTCCCAGAAGCCACACTGGGTGAATAACAACCACTTGAAACTCCAACTCCAGGGGACTTGACACCCTCTGGCCTCCAGGACTCAAATGCATGTACCCCTCCTGTAGACATACATAAACATAATTAAGTTAATGAAAATAAATCTTTTGTTTGTTTTTCTTTCCAGACAGGGCTTCTTTGTGTAGCTTTGGAGCCTGTCCTGGCACTCGCTCTGTAGACAAGGCTGACCTCAAACTCACAGAGATCCACCTGCCTCTGCCTCCCAAGTTCTAGGATTAAAGGCATGAGCTGCCACCACCACCCAGCCGAAATAAATTGTTTTTAATGTGGCTAAGTTAGTTAAGTGCACTTTGCTATAATTAAAAATAAACTTTTAAAACTAACCCTGGGTCAAAAGATGGATCCAACTGGTCCAGAATGATGAGGACCACAAGAAGCTGCTAAGACTCTTTTCCAGTTCTTACAGTGACTGAGGACCTCCAAAGTTCCTGGGGCTCCCCTACCTGCCTAGCCATGCAGCTTCACACCCACTAGCTAATTCCCTCAACCCTGCTGGCTTGATGCATCCTTGACTAAGGCAACATTGCAGGTTTGTAAACCTTCATCAAGTGGTACACACCTATAGATGAGACCATAAAGTAGGGCACTGTCTCTGAGATGAACACTGACCACAGAGGTCCTGAGGCATTCATCAATGGTCAAGGTGTCTAGTTGAACTCTCAAATGCCTAAACCGCCCATCTAGGAAAACTGAGGAATGAAGCCTTGGCAGAGTGAAGTATGTCCAAGGGGGTACCTAAAGGGACCTCCCCCTTGTTCTTCCCTACTCTGCCCTAAACACAAGCATGGAAGATGTGACTAGCCAGGATGGAAATGTGTATGAGACAGACTGTCTATGTGATAGCATCAAAAGCAAGCAGAAGACAATGGAGACAGGATGGGATTTAACAGGGAGAAGTGTAGAATCCCTGATCTGTGCCCAATGATCCAATTGTCCAAAGGGAAACCTGCTTTGTCTGTGAGTACATTGTCAATGTGACTTTATGGGAAACTTGTTGTGACCCCATAATGTCATAAGCTGCCTTAATAAAGGCAAAAATGTACACGAACAAAGATGGCAGAATCTTCTTCCTCTCAGGTGGCCATACCATGCCTTTAGTCCTCCATTAGCTAAAACTCAGACCAAAATGTACACAATGCTCAGGAGAAGTCCATTCAAATACTTTACCAAGGCTTTGGGGTTTCTGAATGTGAGTTCCTGGCTAAAATTGTCTGGTTTAGAAGGTTGTCACAAATAGAAAAAACATGTGACTGTTGAGAGCAAACATGTTGGTGTAGGTAATAAGTAGGAGACAAAATTACATAAACAGCATTTACAAAACAACACCTCAAAACACATAGTACTGGGAAAGCCATGTAAAAGGTTACCTGAGGACTAGGGAGGGAGCCCCTGGGCAAAATGCTTGCTGAGTAAGAACAGGAACCTGAGTTCAGATCCGCAGAACCCACAAAAAAGGTTGGTTCAGTGATACATGCCTGTAACTTCAGTGTTGGGGGACAAAGACAGGCAGATTCTGGGGCCTCACTTGCCAGTTGAAATGGGAAGTTCCAGGAGCAGTTAGAGACCCTGTCTCAAAAACTATGGTAAAGCGATGGAGGAAGATAACTTTTGACTTCCACTCACTCTTAAACAAGTAATTATACACACATATATGGACAAACATTCATATATATGTGTATATACATATATATGTATGTGTATATATATTTTTAATTTTAGAAAAAAAGATGGCTTGAAGCTGTCATAACAGAGATTGGCAAGCCACACATAATGAAGTTATATGAAGCTTTGAAATCCATGCCACACTTGTTTCTATTAGTGACAGTG